AGACTTTGACAGGCCTGCTAATTTTCAGGAAATCAACTCCACAATCTGGGGGAAAAGAGGACGGTAGGGAGAAGGAGGGGTTCAATTCTCAGCACTTGAGTGGAAAACTCCCTTATTTTGCCTGATCAAACTGTGGTTTGGGGATGTGGAAGTAAAAACAAAGCAGGAACTTTCTGGGATTTTGGGGAAACTGTCGGAGGTCACTTAAGGCACTGAATCTACAGGGTAATGAGCTGCTGACCCCAGACCACCAGGAAGCGTAAGGGGGAAAAAATACTGGGTAAACGCAGTCCAGCACAATTCTTGTATTTTAGTGCTATCAGCCGTGGTAAAATTAAATAAAAATAGCACATGTCAGTTGCCACAGAACCCTTAACTAATACTATCTAAGACCAAAAAAGTCTTTACAGTGTGTATGAAGATATTAAAGTTGTTTCTTAAGAAAATATCACATATGTTGAAGAGCTTAACCCTCTTTTTTCACAGGACTTTAACAAACTGGTTGACTGAGTGACTTAAAGTTATGACCCTTTTATAAATGGGTTTCTCAGGTAGTCAACTCCACTGGTAATTGTGGTGTTAATTTAAATAACCACAGCAATTTATTGAAAACAAAAATTCAAAAGGCAGTATAACTTCAATAAAAACCAAGGGCAATCTTGAAATTGCAACAATTTTAGTAAAAGGAGGAAAGAAACCTCAGTGTTTCCAGATGGGAGGCAAAGATCTCTGTAGGTAATACAGCAATTGTAGCTGGCATCCATGGTATTGCAGAAATTACTTTGCGATACGAAAATGAGGCTCTATTTCAGGGGTCAGAGAACTTTCTCTGAAAAGGGTGACACAGTAAAATGTTTTGGACTTTGTGGGCCATCGTCTTAGTCACAACTCTACAAACTGCCACCGTGGTTTGAAAGCAGCCATAGAAAATACGTGAATGAATGGGCTGTGTCTGAATAAAACTTTATTTGCAAAAATCATGTTGTGGCCTGGATTTGGCCCTCAGGCTGTGGTTGGCTGGCCCCAGCTCTCATCAGTAAGAAGCTATCTTGTTCATGTAAGTACAGAAAAAGCAGAAGGGAAGCATATTACAAAAAGTCTCTAAATTAGTGATCAGTGCAGTAGGAGGAGTTAACCACTTAAGACAGTGTTTTCCAAACTGGGCCATTCATCGGAAGCCTTGGGAAACATTTAAATTATAGATTTTCAAGTTCCACCTCCAGAGACTGCCTTTTGGTAGGTCTAGGAGTATTTCTATATTCCCTAGTGAGACCCTTTGATTAAAAAAGTCCAGTGACAGTAGTAAATGCTGTTGGACTAAGAAAATGATAGGAAAAATGGAATAATATAGATTGACTCTCATAAAGTGAAGTGTGTGGAACATTTGCTGTAAAATCCAGAGGGGTGAATGCCAGACAGGGCTCTCCAGATGCAGTTGAAGGGACTGGTGAAAGAGCTTTGACGAAGGATGGGTGGTGGTGAGGTCTTCAGTCCCAGCGAGTGCGAGGCCCACCACTCAGGCATTCAACTTTCACTCCCGAGTTGCTGCAGAGTCCCGACCCTGGCTTTGCCCCGAACCATCAGGTAATAAGCTTGGACAAGTCCCTTAGCTTCTCTGGGCCAAGGTTTCCTCATCTGTGACACCTCTGCCAGCAGCAGGTGTAGGAGTCTGTAAAACAGTGGATTCTGACAAATCCTAACCTTTTGTCCCTCTTTGTATGAAGTTAAACTAAACGCAAGTGTTGAAGAGTGAGAGAAAATGACAGACCAGGGCATGTTAACGGCCCTTTGGCAGGGATCTCACAGAATCACACAAACAAGGACTAAACAGCTGAAGGACATTTGGTTTCGATGACGGGGTTTCCTTTATGAAGGAACTTTGTATAATCACTCCGGAGAACTTGTCAAGTCTGCTTTTCCAGACACTTCTCGGGTCTTCTGAACCACTTTACCACAAGCACCTCATCCATGCACTGACTGGTGAAGGGCCCAGCTCATCCAGGGGCCTGAGGGCCGGCGGGCCGCGGCAGGCTAGGCTAGGTAGCTAGCTCTTGTTGTGCATGGGAATTCAAAAGGCACGGCAAGTTTCTGCCCTTCAGGGGGTAACTTTTATTTTTAACAGAGCAATCATATGACTGGAGCGGAATAAAATGCGATTTAAGATGGGAGAAAGGAAGGAATGGGGTGTGGTTCTGAGAGCCGGAAGAAGGCTGTCACACATGCAGGACACACACTAAGACCACTGTTTTGTGCTAATTAAAAAATTCCTAGAGGGGCACGTGCAGTGGTGCTAGGGCCTCCGGAGTCCACTTTGCTAAGAACTGAGCCTAATTCCATGTTCAATCTCTTGGCCTTGCCC